AGAACATAATTACATATATCATAAAGACATGGACTTTTATCTAAATGATATTTCCACTAATTATTTTAAACTATTTTCCCTCATTATAGTTTACGAAATCTTTATTTCTGTTAGTGGAGTAAAGGAATCCTTTAACAATATGTATGAGCCCCTTGGAAGTCAAGTCGTTTCTCACATATATTTTAAAGGTAGGTACTCTTACCAATTGTACTATACAATTTTCTTAAATAGCTCTATGTCAAATATTCCCCTGGTAGTCAGGTCGATCCTATTGGCATAGTTGAGTTCAACCATCATGATAGCAAAGAACTTATTAAATTTTATACTCCCCGGGTAGTCCAGGCGTCTAGTAAAAAATTGAATAATTCTTTCAATCCATGCATCTGATGCAATAAATAATTTTAACATATTCTCGAACTATTAGTCTCCTAGTAGTCAGGCCGCTCCTTATAAACAAGAAATAAGTAAAATCATTTACTTTGATGGATAGCTTTATAATAAAATATCTTATGTTTTATTATTTAAGAACTCAAATTTTAGTAAGAGAGAATTGTTACTAAAATAGTTTTTAATAATATGAAGATCAAATCTTTTATAGCATGTGAATTTAGTTCAAACTGTCTACATGCTTAGTCCTAAATTAATTTACATCACATGTAATAAATAATTCAAAATTATGTAATGAACAAGCACGTGGCATAAAAATGAAATTCAACATCTTCTAACATGTTTGTCTTATATATCACATATATCACAAAAAAAATAATCCATGCCAGAATATTATTATTAATTAACATCTCATGAACTAATAACAATTAAAATAACAGTAGAATCCAATAACCTATTATAGATACTCGTCGTATCTAATACAAAAATTTCAAATTTAAGTTACGAACTATCTCAATTGTTAACTTATATGTATATATTTTATTCACAATAAAATAATATAAATACATATGTATTCAAACAATTTGACTATAGCACAAGACACATGTATTAGGGTTTGAACTCTTCAAATATAATTTTAAAATATTTCGTAAATAAATTTTAGACACAATAAACCACGGCTTTAATACCACTGTAGGATTGCATATAGGTGTCCGTAACACGCAGCGGAACACAATAACAATCTTAGGCAGATCTTTTCGTGTTTAAATGTATTTACATGTCAAAGATCGGATCTGAGATGTACCTGGTGAAGAGAGACTCGTTTCAAAATTCTTCGATAGTGCGAAGACTCTATGCGCATCCACACCGAGACCGATCCTTGCTATCAACACTTTGATCAATGAAACCCGCAAATAACTTGAATAAAATATTATGTTAATTTTTTCTCAAAAATCTCAACTTAAAGGTAGAAGAACAAGAAATACTTTTTTTGTAATTGTATTTTCTCTCTTGGGTTTGTATTGCACTCTCGCTTTCACAAAGTGTTTTTCTTCTCAAGAATAAATAAACTGGCAAATTTTCTCCATCACCCTTTATATAGCATCACCTATAAACCCTTTTCCTATTTGATTGAGCTAATAATTTACTTAGGGTAAAAGTTTATTCCAAAAATAAACTTATCGGAAAATTAGAATCCCATCTCAATGGGAAGATGCCGACACGTCCTTATGGACTTTCACGTGAATGCTGCTAGCGTCCAATTCCAAATTGGACTTTTCGTAAAATCACAAATCCCATTTCTTATGGGTTTGAAGTCAACTTTCAAGTCAATCCAATTAACAATTGGATTGATCAAATTAAGTTTTTCATTAATATATTATATGCATACTTTGTACAAATAAATATTAATTATATATATCATATATATATATTTCAATCAAGAGATATAATTTAATTTTCTATTCTAAATAGAAAACTTCAATTTGTTCACAATATTAATCATACCCTCTGTGCTAGCAAATAATATAATAATATTTTATTTTGACTAATAATTTGAATTATTTGACTAATTAAATTCTATAATTTAATTATCAAACACTAAAATAATTAATCCTTTAGCAAAGATCAGAGCACTCGTTAGTGTGCGACCCCATAGGTTCAATACTAAACCGGTTGTAAATTGATCACATCAATATACTAATCAAGGGTGGCGTCTAGCAACACTCCTTAACGACCGGATAGAATGAAGTATACAATTTACTCTCAAGAACCAGTAGAAGAATAATGTATTAATTTCTTCCGGCCTTATAGCGCCGAGTCAGCCTAGGATATGGTTGAAGTGTCAAATCCTAATAGGCGACCAACTATGTGTTCATGTCAAATATAATCGACCATCGAATGACCTAAGAAACTCATTTCTTCTTTCATTCAATTGCCCTGGCCAAGGTCTTAATTTGGTCGTTTATAATTCATGACAACATGGAGCTTAAAGTCATTACCAAGAGTTGACAGATTCCATCTTGATCAATCACTAATTCTACAAGCATTTAATCATACCCAATATCCTTTCAACTATCGCCCTAGGGCCATAGGTGTCTGGTATTAAAGCACAATAAATAACTTGTCAATTACTATGACGATCTCATGTCAAAGGAAACTTTTACATCACATTCTTCAAGAGAATATCCTATTGAAAGTTTATGGTAATTCTAACCATTAGTAATTATCAAATGAGTCAGTTCAATGATCATATCTCTATGTGCATCATCTATCTATGTAATTTAGTTAATGAGATCAACTAATCTTTATCCCATAAAGACGATCACATAAATATTAATCTTACCGGATTACTAATGTGCAAATTCATAATCCTACGATCAAGAACAAATTTAGATTATATTATAAGAAACTTTTCTCTCATTATCATGATCTCCAGCACAATGTCAAGTCTCAAAATTTAATCAAGGACCTTATCAAATTAATCAAGCAATTAATAACAATAATAAAAGAATATCAAATGCCATATATATTTGATATCAAATAACGTTCACAAAAATATGTTCAAATCATCAAATATGATACTGGATCTAGGGCATATCTACTATTAGCTCGTTTGGTCAGGTTTCTAAAATCAGCTTATTTTGAGAAGTGCTTTTCTCAAAAGTACTTTTAAAAAAAAAGTTCTTTTGGGTGAGAAGTAATTTGTGTTTGGCTAATTAATTAGAAAAGCACTTTTGAGCAGTAATTAGTGTTTGGCCAAGCTTTTGAAAACTGCTTCTAAGTGTATTTTTCTCAAAAGTGCTTCTCAGAAAAGTGCTTTTGGAGAGAAGCTACTTTTTTCTGCTTCTCCAAAACTGTTTCTGCTTCTCCTCAAAAGCACTTTTTTTTTCTTCCAAAAGCTTGGCCAAACACCTCAATTTTTGGCCAAAAGTGCTTTTGGCAAAAAAAAAAAAAACACTTTTGGCCCAAAAAAGAGCTTGGCCAAACAGGTTATATATCTCTAACACTTAAGGCCTCAGTAGCTGCTAAATCAAGTGTCAAAAATCCGTCGCGCAATGAAGTTGTCAGTGCACTTCTCTTTAAAAGTTTCGCTGCTGCAGTAAAAGCAAACTCTGGTAATCCATTCCAACCATGGGTTATGCCTCAAACTTTCGACTTGCGAGAGCAAATTGGTTTGCCGCCCAATTCTATTGGAAATATTGTGACAGTGGCTTTCATATCCATACTCACTGAGGAAGAGATGACATTATCAAATATGGTGACCGAAATGAGAAAGGAAAAGCGACATGTCTGCAGTTAGGGATGGCAATGGGGCGGGGCGGGGCAGGGTGCGGCGGGTTTTGTTTGATGCGAGGCGGGACAGGGCGGTTAAAACAATTTTTAAAATTTTTAAAGCAGGCCGGGTTGCGGGTTTAATGCGGATTCAATGCGGGACAACTTTGAATTTTATCTTTTTTGAAACAAAGCAGTCATTTCAACTATGATATTTTGAAAACTATACGAAATTCTAATTATGTTTAAACACATGCACAAATCCAGGTTGCAGACTTTGCATAATTGTTGGCACAGAGTCAGAGCTCAGACAAATTAATCACAAGCCTTACTTGGTTATGCATAATAATGTTTCACTCTCTTTATGTAATCATGATTATACACGCTAAGAAAATCTTGAACAAGTTCCGGTCAATTCTGAATTTTTTTTGTCCTTAACTCACAAGTTATTAAACCTGCTGCTAATTAAAAAAAAGATTGTCCATGTCTTGTAGTCCTCTAAATTATTTGTTTTTATGAAGTATATATCCAAACAGAGTAACCACCGATAATGTGGGGCGGGTCGGGCGGGCGGGTTGAAAACTGAAAAAATAACTATGTGGGACGAGACGGGGCGGGTTGAAATTTTTGTGGGTTTTGCCGCACCCGCCCCGCCCCATTGCCATCCCTATCTGCAGTAGACATAATGTCAGAGATAATCTACATCTTAAAGAGTTCCTTGAGCTAGCATCAAAAGAGAAACTTTCTTCAAAACTCAAGAAAATGCATTTCGTTTTAGCAGCTTTAGTGAAATTTCCACTTCATGGAATCGATTTTGGCTGGGGGAAGCCTGCAAAAGTGAGCACACCAAATGGCCCAAATAACAGATTAATCATCTTGGTGGGTAACCAAAGTGGAGGAGTTGATGCATTTGTGTCACTGAGGGAGCAAGATATGTCTGTCTTTGAACATGACGTGGAGCTTCTCAAATTTGCTATTCCAGTTCCAAATTTTTAGAGGATCAACACCATGTTTTTTTGTGTGTGTGTGTCGTATTTTTTAATGTAATAAGCTTGTCGCAAACATACTTTTGCTGTTGAGTACGGTACAGGATCATAGTTGTCTTTTATTGATGTTCAATGGATAGAATACATCTTCAGGACTACAGAATAAAGGATAGCAAACACTTGTTTTTGGGTAAATTCAAAAAGTACCATTGAGAACTGCAAAAAAAGCTCGAACATAATCGCATCTTATGGGGCCAAAAGCTACTCCTTTTGAGGAATATTTACATTGAAGTGAATGGAAACAGAGATGCCTAAGCATGGGTGGGTTGGGGGAGGGGGGAGGGAGAGAGAGACTGAAAAAGAATCAGACTGAAGATATAATAGAGCCCTTGAACAATGTGAATCATTTAGAACGGCAGATGCCACTGTATGACCTCTATAAAACATTAAATTAGCGAATCTTACCCTTTAAAGACAAAACAGTCATCTAGCCACGATAACATTAAGAAAACAGACGGTGAAAATATGGAGATGTAGATCCAGCCACAAACTACCAAATCCATTGCTAGATTGTGAAATATTGTCACACGGGTATTTAGCTTCTAGTAGAATTATTGTCTTGGCTTTGGAATTGCTCTAGTATTAGGTTACAATTGTTGCTTCCACGCGCATCAATAAAGGCCATGGTTCCACAGTTTGATCATGAATAATCTCCAGCACCTGCCATAAAACATTGGATTATACATAAAAGCTACACTAGAGATGAGGAAAAACAGAGTACATGCTACTGTAGATGATGAGCAATTATCACATATTGAGAATCAGCAATTTTAAGGGAAAACCAGTGCCCCTAAAATGTCTAGACGTTTGTTGATGCCACTATTACTACTTCATCAGATCTGAGAAAACATGCATTTATGTGACAAAACCAACAATAAATTTGTGTCCATGAGTAAAGAAAAATGAGTCACCCAAAAAAATGTAAATAAGATAAACAAGCACAGAAATTCCCAATAAGCATCGTGATCATGAAATAGACCAACATTCTGATACATATTAGTAGTGTTCAACAAAAAACAGAGCAGTTTCTTTCTGGGAAACATACAGGATCTCCGATGAACCAAAGAAAGGCACGATACAGGTGTATGGATTGGATAGCATCGGATAGAAATAACAGTGAAATGTCGACACAGGTAACTAAGAAGATTAATTACCACAGCAAGGCCGGTGCTCGGGCGAACTCCTCACCATGCAGCTTTGGAAAAGCCTCACATGCCCAAGGAATGTGACCATCTGCTAACACCCTGCCACAGTAACTAGAAACATGTTATACAAATATAAAAATAGGGAAAATGCATAAGTACCCCCGATCTATATCCGGATTTCCAACTACACACTTTTTCTTTGCGGGAATCCTATTACCCCCTAAACTTATTTTAAATGTAATTATTTGCACCCTTAATGCTGACAACCAAACTCTTGGCAAGTGGTGAGCTACACGCGCCCCCACATGTATTTTTAGTACTTTTTTTATTCTTTCTTCTTTTTCTTATCTTTTTTTCTTATTTCTTATTGTTCTCATTTTTTTTGTTATTTCATTCTCTTTCTTTTTGTTTTGGTCACCAGCAGCATAAAATGGTGGTCGTCGGAATTTCACGAACACCATTTTTTTCGGCGAATTTTTTTTTTCCGGCGACAGATTTTTATCCCTATATATATATATATATACATATAAAGTGTAATTTATGTGTGGGAGGAAGAGCAAAAGAAATAAAACGAATATAAGCTAAGAAAACTTTTTTCAGTTAAAATTTCAATACATCATTTTTTTCCAGCGTGGGAAGGTTTTTCAATGATGAATTTTTCCCTCCAAATCTGAGTGTATTTTGCTTTGCTTATGAATAGATCTTTTTGAGAGTTTAATTGTGTGTGAAAAGAAAAAATGGAAGAAAAACGGTTAGATAAAGTCGCCGGTGAATGAATATCCGCCGGAATTAGAGAAGAAACGAAAAAAAAAGTAAAAGAAAAAAGACAAAGAAAAAGGAAAAGGAAGAGGAAAACAACTAAGAAAAAATGGTAAAAAAAAAAATACGTTTTTTCCTTCTTCTCACTCTCCTTTGGGAGAGTGAAATACACACACTCTGTCACGTCAGCGTTAAGGGTGCAAATAATTCCATTTAAAATAAGTTTAGGGGTAGTAGGGTTCCCGTGAAGAAAAAGTGTATAATTGGAAATCCGGGTATAGGTCGGGGGTACTTGTGCATTTTCCCTATAAAAATATAAAAAATAAAGAGGAAAGGTCGCACTTTAAATAAACTGAGACTCAAAATTAACAAATTTCTGAAACTAAAGGGGAATGAGCCAAGAAACAAAACTTGAATTAGAAGCTTCTCTATAGTACTTAAGCTCCTCTTCTCAACCCCAGACCCACACTATCCTCTTGTTCCACCATCAATTCTCCCTCTGTTGCTCTTTACAGCCAGCAGGAAGGGAATTCAGCAACCGAACTTTTCCAACAGGCATCCCTTTATCACTAACATGTAATTCAGCACGAGAAGACCACACTTGTTGCCCTTTGTTGCTTTATACAACTTCTGTTTTTGCTTAATATATTATATTATTAGTCTGATAATCTTACCAGTCTACTTGTGCATGAAGCGAGAAGAAAGACAGACCCAACTTCAAAACACATTTACTTCAGTGAGAAGTTCGTGTAATTTAATAAGAACAGAGAAAACATGTTAGCTGCTTCTCCAAAACCCTTAAATGGCACATCACAGCATTTTCCAGAAGTTCTCAAAAAATGTCAATTTGAGAGCATCAGATCAAGGACGGCCTTCTCTTTTTCAAGGAACTCTTCTTTTGTCTTTCTCTTTTCCTATTTTCCAGGCAGTAGAAGAGGTACAAGGTGTTGTCACTCTCGTACCGAAACTAGTAAGTTGGATGGAAACGAATGGCATTTACTCACTAATATAACACTGTTTTTGGTTAAACGAAGATGAAAGGTAGTGGAAGGAAGAGGTGGACTGGTCTATCTACTTCCCTAAAAACGGTTATCACGCCCTTCTCTTTTGCACAATGGTAAAGAAGTAAATGAGACTTACCTTCTTACCACTCCACCTATTTCGGGGAATGTTGGAGAAGCTAATTGCAGATTGTTGCACTTTTACTACATTCCAAAGTTACCCACTATCTACTATTACTTCACAGGCCCTCCCTCTTCACCCAAACAAAAATAAGAGCGTACGATACACACGTCTCCATACCCCAACACTCCGGATAATAATAGGAAAAACCATACAAGCAAATCAAACCAGATACGAAATAAGACAGTACCTTTGCTTTCTAACAAATGAGTTCCGTAGATGCATCATTTGCTTCTCATCTTTGGTAACATCCACGAAATCATCAAGCATCTGTAATGTGTCTGAGGTTAGTTGAATGATTTCTTCAAATAACTTATACAATCAAAATCTTGCCTCTTGAATAACTAAATTTTGCAGCAGTTCCCAGGGGAAATATAATCAGTTGGAGGGAACAGTTTGGGTAACCTTCCGTAGTTCTCAAACGCATTATATTAGCAGCTTAAGGAGTTCCATGATTCTGCCTAACATTCAAGTTGAGACTATACAGTTCCTTCAAATGACAAGCAAGTATTGGACAAAAAATGTTTATCATCCAGTCAGAACCAGACATCAAAACACACCTTTCCCTAGTTGGTTTCAGTGGTCGGTCGATATTCATCCAAACCATTCAAAATACCATTTTCATTCATTTGAGGCAAAACCAAAGGCGATTTGCCTAGTCTGAATCAGATTTAAGGAAAATGGTAGTCTGCAAAATGCTCAGACCTTGATTTTAGTTTTAAGCAATTAGAGGATATATCCTTTAGATCAATGAAATTTACAACTTATCAAAAGTTTACGTCATTAAATGAGATTTTGATTCAATTACTCAGCTGTTAAGAAAATTACAACAGCATCAGCAGCAAGCCATATGGACGCTACTGCTTGCTGATAATTTTCAAAACTCTAGTATACATGGGATAATATAACTCACTGATGCAATATAGAGAAATATAATAAATATGTCCCTCCAGGATCATCAATAGATAACATTCTGCAAAATGCTCAGACCTTTCTCCTCTACCCTTATCCCCTTCCCAAGTGTCCTTCCTCATGTCCTAGCCCCTCAATGACAACGACCCGCCTCAAGCCCACCACCATCCACCAAACAAACCTGCATTGATACTGATGATGGTCTGCCTGCCTCCATTCACCCTCGATGATGACGATCTTCCTCCACTGTCACACAGTGGCAATCTCCACTTCTAAATATCTGATTAAATTTTCTGTAATTCGGTTTTTTCAGTTTTTCTGGAACTGCTCATCAGCAATCCTTTATTTCTAAATGTCTTATGATTGTGCTTTTCTAGCCCTCTTTCTTTTTCTTTGGACGCACTTTGTAGTATTTTCACCATTTTTACTATGATCTCTTTTTGCAAATCGTTCATTTTCTACATTTTTCCTTTATTATCAGAATTTTATACAAATGTTGTTGTTCTCTCTCTTCTTTTTGCTAGATTTTTATTTCTTATCCTGCTATACGTGTTTTGTTGTAAGTTCTTTTAGTTGGACGATTGAATTGTTAGTGTGTTGGATTTGTGATGATCAAAGTGGGATGCCCATGGAATTATTAGAAGGAATAGATTCAGCACTTTGCAATTAAAATATCGACTTGTGGCACTGGGTATTCATAGAGCTAATTGTGATCTGCTTGTTACGTGTTAGTTCATATAAATCCACCAAACTATAGAGTACCTGGTCCTCTATGAGTTTCCACTGAGAATACTAATTAAAACAGTAAGTAAATGAGACACGGCATTTTTACGTGGAAAAATCTCAACTCAAGGGGACAAAAACCACGACATACACCTGTGGGCTTTCAACTTCACTAACTTGTAAACACACTATTACAAGCCACTTTGTAATGATTCTATTACAAAGATTTCAACTCAACTAACTTGTGATACACTTACCACAAGCCACTTTGTCACTCACTAGTTACAAAGACTTCAACTCAACTAACTTGTGATACACTTACCACAAGCCACTTTGTCACTCACTAGTTACAAAGACTTTAACTTATGACTAACTCTAGTCACAACACAAATTCAGAAAGTTTATGGTTTTACAAAGGGGTTCCTAAGCAACGCTTCTAGCTAAGCAATTTAGGAATTTCAATAAGAACAATCACAAAGTTACAACTCAACTAAGGACAACAAAATACTCGATTTAGGAACTGGTCCGTAGTAGCGTATTACTTTGTTCTTCAAGGTCTTGAGAGATAAGTTCACTGTTTGCAGAAGACTTGAATGCTTGAAGTGAATTCTGAAATGTTCGAGTGATGTTTTGTCATAATGCTCTTGTTGATACACTCTTGATGACATCACTTGAATGATGTAAGCATTTGGTTGGTCAAGGTAAGTGACTGCAAAACTGCTGCACTGTGTGCACTATTTCTGTGGCAGTCACTTTCCAGCTGTGCACAGTTGACTTTCGTACTGCTGTCAGGGAAACACAAGGGATCAGGTCCTTGACTTGTTTCTCAATTTTTTATACTTGCAGCAGTTCACATTAGCTGGAGTCCAGGCTGGAATCCGTTCATTTTGTAATGTGAACAAAGTGTGTCAGGTTCCCTATCTGGTTCTTGACTGTAAGTTTGTTAGATCATCAAAACATAAGACAAATACATTGAAAACCCATAAATTTCCCCCTTTTTGATGATGACAAACTTAGACATTGATAACATGTGATTAGAGCATAAATAACCAGATGAGGTACCAGGAACTCCACAAGTTCCCCCTGACTTTATGCTTCCCCCTTAATCAGATCCCTATTTCAATTATACAATTATACTTCCCCCTTTTGGCATCATTAAAAATACACAAGCAGGCAAACAGCATAAAGAAGTCCAGTCGAGCTAACTCATGCCACATATGTGCACACAGCATGATAGAGAAGAGAAACAGAGAATACAGGCATTGAGATAACAAAAGAGGATAGATTATATATATAAAACATATGCCTTTGCTTAAAAAAAGCAAAGGCAGAATTGGACTATTGAAAGCAGTACTGATACATCCCAACCACATCAAGACAAAAGAAAACAAACACAACTACCAAGTAATTAAAACAACAAGAGACAATCCAGAAATTGGTCACTGACAGGGTTACTTAGGGGGCACTAGGAGTAGAGGGCTTGGAAGTTGCAGCAAGAGTTTGGAGAACTAGTTCT